TTAAGACAATGCTGGGAATCTTACAGACATCTGTATAAAATGGGTCGTTACCCAGTTACATATCTCAAAAAATGAGATGGGAATATATTTAGTACATATCAAGTGCTGTGTTAGAGGGGTGGAGCTTGCCGGAACGGTGTCGGTGTAGAACATATCTGCTTGCTATAGATCTTTCATGTAGGGAGGACGGAAGGGGAACAAAATTTGAAATTTCCATAGGAAGTCAAAAGTGCAGGTTTGATTCTGACCTCAGACCTGTTCTTTACTTGATGTACTGGCAGGTGGAGAAGGAGTTTTGATTTATTCAGGTATTAGTTCATATTTAAGTGAGTAAGATTTATTTTTTCCAAAATAAAAAGCTCTTCCTGGTTGTAAGTAATAAGCAATTTCTTAAGGCAGTCCTGGTATTGATAGGTCTTGATTTGAAGGATTGGGCAAATGCCTTTGAAGTTAGCCTGAGGATTTCCTGTGGGTATAGAGCTTTGAGGAAAGGACAAGAATGTTTGTGTGACAAGTGGACAAATGAACACTGGAGACTTGTAGCCAAGGTGAGAAGGAGGCGATGGAAAAGAAGAAGAAAGGTAGATTATAAAGGACTAAATAGTATACGTTGGATATGGCTTGGATATGTATGGAAAAATAGGTGACATGGTTAAATAGGATGATCATACTGAGGACCTGAATTGCAAAAAGAATGATATATTGGGGTAAGGGCAATCTTTTGGATTATATAGCACCAGTCACAGTGGGTACCTGTCCCACACGAGGCATTCAAAGCAGTGTGAGAAAAGGACTACAGAATAAGAATAATAATTTGCGACTGTTGGTGAGGGAGGAACAGATGAGGAAAGACAGAGATAATGGAGAGTTCAGGTTTGTCTATGTTAAGTTTGTTTAGAGTGAAGTACAGTTATTTCTGTGCAAGACTATGTGGACACTTTCACTTTAGAGTAAATTCCCAATATAATTTTGTTGTGTGTTGATGAGCATTTTATAGAAATCATGCAAAGATCGTGTGAGGAACCAGACGGTGAACCTTTTTTGTAGGAGCTTGTATAGTAACTATGAGACCATTTTTTTTTCCTTAAGGCCAGCTGGAGAAATTTTTATGTTGTATTAGTATGTGTAATTGCCTTCTTTTAAAAAAGTAGCAATTGCATTGATTTACATAGTTTGATCTCTCCAGATACTACAGTTCTAGTCTAATCCTTATCTTCTGAACTTTGTAAATCATGTCAAAATGTGTGACTACTCATCACTCCTGAACAGATGAGTTCATGAGTTGTGCCTGTTCTAAGATGTAAAGTGAACGTGTTGCACTTGACTGTTGAAAGTAACTGGTATCGTAAGTGGTAGCAGGCCTGTTCTTTCTGTTGGTACCCTGTGGTCATCCCTGTTTTTCTCATTTGGGCTTTTGTTTTTGTTTTTCTGTTGAAGAATTTTAAAATGAGACTCAATGTTGGGGAATGTGAAGAATCAACTTGCTTGTCTTCAGTGGAGCTTTGTTCAGTGACATTAATGGATGTTTTGACCCTAAAAAACTGTAATGATAATACGTACAATGCAATTCCTTCAGAGATTTGCCGTGAGTTTTTAAAGGTGGGGTGGATATCTTTCTTTTCACTTTATGGTTGAGGACTGATAGGGTGTGTGAACAGAGAGGCTGAAGACTCTGGCAAGCCATATGCACAGCAGAGCTGAAGCAGAGGTCTTCTTAACTTCTCCCTGTACGCTAGCTAGATGCCACAGTATCCTCTTTAATAGTCTGAGTACAGAGTATGTGTTGAATTACAGCAATTACCTCTGTGATTGAGATGTTAAGCCACTCCCCCCCCAAGTGAAGATCTTAGTGGACAAAATTGTTTTTCTTTCTTCCCTTTGTTTTTCTAACAAAGAAGGGCATCAGCTGTGACTGTCTTGAGAGCAGATAAATATATCTTTATGTAATGAATTCTCTCATACAAACTAAAGGAGTTACAGGGGAAAATCTATGCATATACACAGGAATCTCTGGATTTCAGTTTGCTACCTGCCAAACTCCCAACAAGTTTTTATGGAATATCAGATGGGTATACTTTATTAAGTAGTGTCTTGCGTTTTGTTTACTTCTACAAAGACTCTTGGGAAGTAAAATACCACTTAGGGTGTGTTAGATTAGCGGAAATTGATTCAAAGATAGCTGCTTCGTAATGGTACTATGAGCGAGGAAAACTTAGGAGCTAAAATGATGGTAAACTCCATATCTGTTTTAATGAAAGGGTTATAAACCTCTAATTTATATTCCATTGGTATTAAATTATCAAAAATGTTTTCACATTAGAATTGGAATTAGTTATATTATAGATTTAGGTAATTTTAAAATGCGTAATACCATTACTCCCCAGTTATTTAGAATTACAATTTTTTCTTTTTAAAAAAAGAAAGTTGCTATATTTCTGGGTATAGCTATGTGTAATAGGTGAGTATAATTTTGCTATTGTGACATTCGTCTCTATTTCCTTCCATTGAGTGTGTGAATGGTTTGTATCTTGGCAAATGCAAAGGAGGTAAAAAAATTGTTCATCTTGGTAGATTTATATTATTTTAATTTAAGCTTCAGTTCCATTACTTTTTGATTAAACATACTTCTATCTGATGCTATCCATCTTTTATCACTATGAAATCTGCTCCCAAGCAGAAAGAAGGATGGCATCTGAATTATGCAGAAATAATTTTCTATCTATTTTTCTTCAAATGCTGGGCAGCCTTTTTCAAAATCCCACCAATATCGCATGTGGCTTGTTCTAATCCTCTGCCTATTTCTGAATATTCAACTGTCAGACCTTGGTCTTTTGCTGTTGTTTTTATGGAGCGTATTGTCCTGGATGTCATTTGCTTCAGGTGTAGCTTAAACTTCTGATTTGAGGGTAGAGTACACTGAGTTATCATTAGCTCTGAAAAGCTTTTGACTATCAGTTTTTAAAGTGGTCTTGTAGTTCATGCATTTCTATGTATAACTTTAAAAACAAACAAAAAATAACCACGCTTTGTTGACTGAATCACCATGAATTTTATCAAATAGCTTAGACCACAAATCAGTCACAGGTTTGGCAGTAATATAGGTAAATACCATAAATAAGATTTCATTTGTAATTATACAGTGACCTGTTCGGGTATGTGGTTGGTTAGTTTTATTATTTATATAATGTCATTCACAAAAGTATAATTGGTAACATACAACAAGAAATGTACTTCTTGAGTTTGGGGGAGTGAAATACACAGTCTTCTGCATTAAACTGAATGGAATTTCACTGTTAAATGCAGGTGATCATTATCCAGTTTCCTGGGGAACAAAAAGTAGTGAGCACTGTTGCATACAATTCACTGCGTTATAGTTACAGACATTGGTTGTGACCGTAAGCCAAATATCTCCTGTGTTACTAACCTTTATGGATATCAACAGTTCATCTGGGTGAATGAGAACCCCATGCACGCAAAGCCTTCCGGGCCAGTAGAAGAGTACAGACTTGGATCTGTAAATTGCCTTGGTTCAGCTAGTGAGTGTTCTGGTGTTTCATGCCAGCTTGGAGAGTAGAAAGGAAAAGAGAAAAAGCAAGAAATATGAAAGAAGAAGAAACAAAAACAAAACAACAAGAGTTGGCCTTGGATTTCTGGCTATTTGGCAAAATGGCTTTTCTTCACCAAAATCCAGTCAATCGTCTTTGGATGAAAGAGGACTGACAGATGTTTCCTTGTAATGAGACTGTGCTACCAGTGCAGGTTCATGGGCAGCACGTAAACTCTGTGCTGTATTCTTCTTGCTGTGCACATAAACTGTAACGTCTTTGCTGATGGCTTCTCTGCAGTCCAGAAGCCAGTTCTGGAGGTATTTCCTGCAAGGGAGAGAACGGGGAGATGGGAAGTAGTAGAGCAGGACATAATAATGGCGATAGAAAAGATGAATAGAGGGGGGAGACCTAAAACAGACAATGAAAAGAAAAGTGAGAAAGGGAGCTGCACTTTATTACATCGCTCACAGGGATCATTGATATGTAGTGTGTCCTTGCATTCTTGTCTAGTTAAATCCATGTCGTCAGGGGCAAATTTGGCACTTGGTATTACTTGTCCTGTTGCCCTGCCCATGTGCCGAGTTTTTCAACTTCAGTGTTATGTTACTACTTGGTTATACTGACATTCATCCTGGTTGTCCGGAAATCTGCCTGGGTGACTCAGAAGAAAATAAAAATACTTAATTGTTTTATAGGACTTACCATCTTTTTTTTTTTCCCCTCCTTTTTTAATTTTGTATATGAGAGCAGTTGTAGCTTGTTTCAGGAAAGTAAACTCCTATATATCCGTACAAAACAGGTAGCAGAATGTTTTATTGAAGCAATGAACATTTTGGAGGTAGAACACAAATGTTAATTCATCATTGATGACATCTAAATGAACACCCATACAATTTCTTTCAAACCCTCATGAACCATTTCGGGTCTTTAAGCCACATATATGTTGTTATTTTACTAAGGATACTTGCTTTGTATCCTCTGGCCATGTTAATCCATGTTAATGAAAAGCATTGGTTTTGACTATCTAAACTGTATATAGCACCCATTGTTTCTAAAGTTCTAGTTCTCTCTACTTCTCTACTCATAATGTTAACCTTGTATATCCATGGTGTTTATTACAGCTTTGAACTTCTGCTTCTGGCAAAGACGACTTAAGATCAGACTGTTTCAAATGGAAACTAAACTTGTTAGCTGTTTTCAGTAATCTGTAAAAATGAACAAATGGTTTTAAACGATCAGGAAATTACGTTGTATATTTAGTCTTGCATGTGTGAAAATCTAAACAGCTTGCAAATACTTGTAGTGCTGCTTTCCCTTGCTTTCTGAAATTAATCTTTTGGAATAAACATGTTTTTTAAATAAATATTGGAAGGCAGGAGATAGAAGATTGTTACCTGAGAGGCATCTTCATAATATATTTAGTTACATTTGCTTATTTTTCCCAATGCAGGTGTCCGCCTAGACAGAGTACGTGGAGGTCGCCAGAAGTACAAGCGCAGAATAGATGCAGAGAATAGCCCATACCTGAACCCTCAGCTAGTTCAGCCAGCAAAAAAGCCATGTGAGTACACCAGATACACGAAATGTCTTTTTGAATACAAGGTATTGACTCCTAGCCCTGTTTGCTAAGCTCCTTCTGACTGGAACAAGGGTTTGGTCAGAAGATATTACCATGAACACTATATCCATTTAGCTGTTAACATATTTTGTTTTAAATATGCTTATCTTTCTCAAGGTGAGTTGAACAAAGAATATTTTTACAGGTGGAAGTGTATAAAAGCATGGTTTATGCAGTGCAAATTTTACATTTACAGGTTATCTTTATTTTCAGTGGTACATAAAATGGTTCATACTGTGATCATTAGTTCGTTGAAGCTGCTAGTTTCAGATTCCACAAGAAAGTGATTTTTGTAGTTTTCACTAACTAAATGAGTCTGCTCAACCTCCCAATGAAAATACATTAAGAGCCTCATTAATTTATACCTGTAGATTAATACACTACCTAGCATTAGATTAAAACAGCAATATGCCACACTAATAACAAGCATAGATTGGTAGTTTGGGCTCTAGTACCCTTATGGATTTTTTTGCTTTGTTTTGTTAAGTTTTAATAATGTCCTTGATTGTGTCTCGCCAGGCTGAAATTAAGAGAGAGAGAGCGGGCTGATCATCTCATTGCTAAAATACAAGTTCCATCCTCTTTGCGATTAACTAAAAATAGTTAGGGGTTTTGCTTTGCAGCTTATATAAACTCAAGCAGTGACTGTACTAATTCCATGAAGTAAATTTAATAGCATTATAGCTGTAGTGCAAGAGGCTAGTGTATTACCCTGCAAAGGCACACAGCTGTATCAAGTGTTGTAAACTTCTGAATTCAAATGAGAATACACATGTCCAGTTGCTCCTGCCGGGAAGGTTAATTTGCTCCTAAAATAGAGAAATAAGCCAGAGAAATAAGGAGGCTAAACTCCTCCTTGTGTCCTATTTGCCTCTGCCTCTATGCCTCTGACAACACACATGTCAGTTTTAGGCTCCTGGAAATACCTGGCTGTATGGAAAATGGAGTTTGTTTCCATTCGTGTTCCCCAGTAGGGGACAGTGCTGTGTACAATACGTTTGAGCATATGGGGATCTGGAGAGCAAATAAACAGTCTTTGAACTGTAAGTGAAAGGGCATTTTAGCTGTGTCAAAGAAAAAACAGCCAGTTTTACATAAAATTAAGGCTTAAGTGAACATATGGCATAGTTTCCTTTTGCCTTTCCAAAAAACATTATGCTGATTATATTCCTTCAATTGTCCAATCTGGCATCTTCTACTCAGCCTCCATAAGCTGTCCCACCGTTCTGTAAATACAATCTAGGGCTGCACTAAGCAGATTTTGCACATTATAATAAAAACTTTCTGATAATACAATAAAATTTAATAAACTCTAATGCTTAATTTCATTAGAGGTTTAGTTTTCCTGGGTGCACAGATTGTCAGTTTTTCATTTACTTGATATTGTCATTGAGTAGAAATGTTGATAGCCTAGCATACCAAAAAAGCTAAGACCAAACAGGCAAAAAAAAAAAAAAAAAGCCCTTTAATATGAACAGAGGTTAACACTGTTGTACTGAAACACAAGAATCTCTGTGTAAACCCAAGATTACTGCAAAGTAGTGCACTACATAACCTTTAAGATGATAACTACACCAATTTCTGTAAGCTCCATTTGTCTGAGATAAACTAACCCCCTTATAAATCATTACTCATTATCTAAGTGCGTCCCTTCATTTTCCTTAGCTTGTCCAATTACAAACATTTTTGTAACAAACATTTTATAAAACTTAATTTTCAAATCCTGTCAGATAAGTGTCAAGATTGAAACAGTTGAATCGGTTTTGTGTGGAAGTAGCCTGGGAGATTTTCTGGACCCTGACTGATAGTTTGTGCATAACAAAGGCACAGGAATGAAAATTGGGTTCTATTGATTCTAATTAGGAAAACATTACATAAGATTTACCTAGAAACAGTGCTCATGGCTATTCAATTTCCTGAATGATGGAGCTTTCTGAGTACATTCAGAATTTTCCTATGGTCTATACTAATGCACGCTCCAATACAGGTAGCTTTTTCCCCCTATA